TAGTCTGTCGTCCTTCCTCTCCTCCGCAGAGTGTTCCTCTGCCATCTCCTCCTGCGTCTTCTCTGCCTGTCGTTGCGGACCCTGAGTCTGACCAGTTTCGTACTGAGCACCCTACTGTCACGCGTCTGCTAGCCACTGTTGTCACTGACCCGTCGTTTGAGTCCACTGCTGCGTCTGCCCTAGTCGCTGAGCTAGTCGACTTTGCTGCTGCCTGTCGTCTAGACTACGCTGCTAGTCTTGTTGCTGCGTCTGAGTCTGTCTGTCCTCCGTCCGTCGGGGGTGAGTGTGCTCTTAGCACGGACGTCCTTGAGGACAGGCACGAGGACCTTGAGTGTCTTGCGGCCGCTGCGCCTCATCTCATGGCCATGCTGCTTGCCCCTGAGGGAGACCCGGATGCACCAGACATCCCCACCCCGCGCTCTTATGCTGAGGCGATCGCGGGTGAGTACTCCTCTCAGTGGCAGACAGCCATGGACGCAGAGATGGCATCCTGGAAGTCCACAGGCACGTACGTCGACGAGGTTCCCCCTCCTGGGGCGAACATCGTAAGTGGCATGTGGATCTTCAGGGTGAAGCGGTCGCCAGGTTCTCCGTCTGTCTTCAAGGCGCGTTACGTTGCACGAGGTTTCAGTCAGCGAGAGGGAGTAGACTTCTTCTAGACCTTCTCCCCCACCCCGAAGATGACCACTCTTCGGGTGCTGCTGCACGTTGCCGCTCAGCGTGACTACGAGATTCACTCTCTTGACTTCAGCACAGCCTTCTTACAGGGCAGTCTGCACGAGGAGATCTGGCTGCGCCGCCCACCTGGCTTCACTGGGTCGTTCCCTCCTGGTACCCAGTGGAGCCTCAGGCGGCCGGTCTACGGTCTCCGCCAGGCGCCACGTGAGTGGCACGACACACTGAGGACGACACTTGCGGCTCTTGGGTTTGCTCCGTCGACTGCTGACCCGTCGCTGTTTCTGCGCACCGACACTTCGCTGCCGCCGTTCTACATCCTCGTGTACGTCGACGACTTGGTCTTTGCCACTGCTGACACTGAGGCTCTCGCCCTGGTGAAGTCGGAGCTGCAGAAGAGACACACGTGCACAGACCTGGATGAGCTGACAAGCTATCTTGGCTTGCGGATCACCCGGGACAGAGCACGCCGCACCATCACACTGACTCAGTCACACATGGTGCAGCAGGTCCTTCAGCGCTTCGGCTTCACCTGGTCCTCGGCACAGCCCACTCCTCTGGCTACAGGTCACTCGCTCTCAGCTCCACCTTCGGACGAGTCCGTAGAGCCGAGTGGTCCTTACCCAGAGCTAGTGGGTTGCCTCATGTACCTGATGACCTGCACTCGTCCTGACCTTGCGTACCCTCTTGGCCTTCTGGCTCGCTACGTGGCTCCTGGTCGGCACCGAAAGGTGCACATGGATGCTGCTAAGAGGGTACTACGCTACTTGTGCAGTACATCGGGCATGGGGCTCGTGCTTGGAGGACGGAGCGACCAGGCACTAGGCACTCAGACGCTTCTTGGGTTGACGACCAGGCTACGCAGCGGTCGTCACAGGGTTACACCTTCAGCCTTGGCTCTGGTTCGGTTTCTTGGCGTTCTACACGCTCGTCTTCAGTTCTCAGCTCCAGTTGTGAGGCTGAGATCTACGCCACAGCCATGGCTGCACAGGAGTTACGCTGGCTCACCTACCTGCTGACCGACTTGGGAGAGAGGCCTCATTCTCCTCCAGTGCTGTACGTCGACAACAAGGCCGCCATTGCCTTGTGTCAGGAGCACAGACTGGAGCACAGAACGAAGCACATCGCTCTGCGTTACTTCCTTGCTCGAGAGCTACAGCAGCGTGGTCAGCTTCGTCTTGCTTACGTGGCCACTTGGGCCAACACTGCTGATATATTCACCAAGGCACTTCCGCCTGGTGATCATCAGCGTTTCTGTACTTTGTTAGGCCTTGTGCCTACGTTTCCTCACTTGCTATAGGCTTTGTTTGTACTATGATCTGTATATATACATGCATGCTTGCTCTGGTAGGTAGAGATCACTGTGTTGTTGTTGTTACGTATATATCTCTGCATGTGAACTGGCCTTGTGGCCTTTTGCTTGTGCTCAGACTGCGTGGTGACGTTGTGATCCACCCTGAGCTGTGCTTTGTTTCTTCACTTGACTGGTCTTGTGACCGTTGCTTGCTCTGGCTATCCCCCATTTCGCCTATGGGGGTGTGTCAAATTATATATGCATGTTTAGGTTATCTAGGCTGCATGGGGGTTAGCACTAGGGGGTACAGAAACTTCCTCGACACTCTAGTCTTGCACCCCAACCTTGACCTAATCTCATGATTCTCGTGACTTAGTCTTAACAATCCCAACTGTCAGGGTTTCTAAATTAGTCAGCTCTGTCACGGACTCTGGGATCTCCCTGAGATTGAAGCAGCAATGAATGCTCATGTGCCGCAGCTGATTCAGCTTCCCAATCCCTGCCGGAAGCTTATCATCTGCAACCATATCCATGTCAAGCCGGGTCAACGAAGTCAATTGAGTGAGTGAACCGGGCACCTGCAGCGGGTTGAACACATCATTCGGGAAAAGCCTCCGGATGGCAGCCATTCCCTCCAAGCCGGTGGGAAGCCTCAGTAGCGGCAGCTTCACCATGCACAGCGTCTTGAGAGCTCCTAGACGACCGAAATTTGCTGGAAGCTGGCGGAATGCACGGCAACCAACCATCAGCAGGGTCTTTAAAGATGTGAGATAGGCGAAGGATTCCGGAAGCTCCGCGAGGGGGAGCATGTACATGGTAAGTGTTTCCAAGGATTCAAGATGCCCGAAAGAGTCTGGGAGGTCGGTGAGAGGCAGGTCGCGCAGCTCCAATCTCTTCAGGGCAGATAAGTGGCCGAAGTTGTCGGGCAGGCTGGAAAATCCGACGCACGAGGAAATCTTCAGGTTCTCTAGCCGGGCCAGTGACTTGAAATCTCCGGGGAGCTGGGTGCGTCCTGAGCAGTTGCTAAGGGTCAGCTCGCGGAGACACGGCAAAATCTCTCCCATGTCGTCCGGAAGCTGGTCAAGGAAGTAGGAACCCTTAATCACCAGCCGCTCCAGCCTGGTGCACGGCAATCCCGAGGGAAGAAACCAGATAAAAGGCGAAACCTCTCCCTCTAGCTGCAGCGATTTCAGAAACGGCAGGTGTGAGACGGAAAACGTTCCCGGTGGTGCTTCAAACTCGGGGTCGTAGCTAATGGCCAGGCTCGTAAGCCTCGGCAGGTGGACGAGACACAAGAGGTGGTGAAATATCAGCTTCAAAGAGGTTATGCGGATCGAGCTGAGAGATGTAAGGTTCGAAAACCCGGGAGCGGTCAGCGCAGCCGCGTCCGGGAGAACGAGAGTGCGGAGCCGCGAGAGCTGGAAGAGCGAAGCCGGGAAGACGACTTTCGGGTGGAGAGCGGATCCAAGGCGGTCAAGGGAAAGAACCTCCAGATGCGTGCATCCCTGAAAAGGCCGATCCAAGCCCGTTTTGGTAATCGGGTGTAAGCGCCTACTCTCCTCGACGTCCGCATCTTTCGTGATCCTGCTTCCAACGTGGAGAACCGTCAGCTTCGTGCATGTCGAGACGAGGTGCGAGAGGAAAGAGTCGTCTATTGTTTCCACGCTTCCGTCGCACAGATGCAGGTGAGTCAGGTTCGGGAAGCAAGAGACGGCATTGGCGAGGTCTTGGCGAGAAACGGCGAGATCTTTCCTGACGAGAAGCGTCGAGACGTAACACTGGGAGAGACGGGGCCAGCGACGGCAGACGGAAGCGACGAGGAGACTAAGAGCTGCATCGGTGAAGGCAGGAGGAGTTGGTACGAAAGAGTTCTTCTTGCTACTGCTTGAGCCCTTGGGTGGAATCTTCGTTCAGAAGTATTTCTGCCTTGGACATAAAGAGTCGCATGTAGCATTGTCGCATGGAGCATTGTCGCACGTAGCATCGTCTCGCGTAGCATTGCCGCATAAAGCATCCTTGCATGTCGCGATGTTGCATGTAGCATCAGTGTCGTAAACAGCAGACAGCCGTGTTTTGGAGGTATGCCACAGGATCCTAATAAGGAGGTCGTCTGACAGTCTGTTAAAACCGGGGTGCACATTCAGCTGAATGTGCATCAAAGGTTATCCCTTGACTGAGTGGGTTACGAGGTGTGCTTTCAACCCCTTCAAGTCGAAATTCGTTTCCCCCCTCCCCCGCAATTTCGTTTCCCCACGCCCCCGCAATTTCATTTCCCCCTCCCCGTCGAAATTCGTGTCCCCCCTCCCCCGCAATTTTGTTTCCCCCCTCCCCCGCAATTTCGTTTCCCCCCCCTCCCGCCAATCTGTTTCATCCCTCCCGCCATTCGGTTTCACCCACTCCCGCCATTTCACCCCCTCCCGCCACCTACGAAATGCCCGAAGCTCTAGCGGAATCATTTTTTTGTCGCCCCTCGTGAGCCAATCACTGTTTTTCTCCAAACCCCCTTCCCAACATCTCAAGCCGAACCGCGTTGAATGTGCACCCTGGTTTTAATGTGCGCACGCGAATCCATGGTTAGAGAAACTCGGCTCAAATCGACACGGATTTAAAGCCCGAGTTCCACATGGCATTTTTCAAATTCAAGATTCTTGAATATGAACTCGCCAAAAACCAGGTTACCACCCGAAGTGCAGCTTTCCGTCCCCTCACGGATGAGATGCTTCACAACTCTGATGCATGATTGGCCAGCGACAAAAAAAAGGATTCCGCGTGAAGTGTCAACGGGAGTTGGACCACTGTTCACATTCAGTAAACTTGAAAACCAAGTTGTACTTATGTGCAGCCATATTGAGTCTAGGACACGTAGTGCGCTCCGCTGTTCAGGACCACAAGAGCCCGTAGTATCGCTTTTAGACAATGGCAGCGAGATGTCTATATCCTTGCAGCAGTCTGTTGGTTTTTCGCTCCAACAAAAATAAAATTAGCCAGCCTAAAGAAAAACGTCATGTCACGCCCCAATTCTACAGGGACGATGGCGCTCGCAAGTACGTTCGAAGCGCACGGATCAAGCGCACGGATCGGGCGCTCGACTCACATGTACGTTCCACGCACCCGCTTCCGCCCGTCGCACTCCCTTCCGCACGCCTGCACTCCCTTCCGCACGTCGCACTCTCTTACGCCCATCAAACTCCCTCCCGCCGTCGCCCTACTGCCCGTCGCTCTCCCTAGCGCACGTCGCACTCACTTCCGCCGACGCTCCCTTCCGCCCGTCACCTTCCCTTCCGCCCGTCGCACTCACTTCCGCCGTCGCCATCCCTTCCGCCCGTCGCCCGTCACCTTCCCTTCCGCCCGTCGCCCTCCCTTCCGCCCGTCGCCCTCCCTTCCGCCCGTCGCCCTCCCTTCCGCCGTCGCCATAGATTCCGCCCGTCGCTCGTCGCCATGCCTTCCGCCCGTCGCCCTCCCTTCCGCCCGTCGCCCTCCCTTCCGCCGTCGCCATCCCTTCCGCCCGTCACCCTCCCTTCGTCTCGTCGCCCTCCCTTCCTCCCATTGCCCTCCCGACCACCCGCCGCCCTACCTTCCCCTCGTCGCGCTCCCTTCCGCCCGTTGCCCCCCTTTGTCTCGTCGCGCTCCCTGCTGCTCATCGCCCTCCCTCCTGCTCGTCCCCTCGCAATCCCCGTATCTCTCTCCCCTCGTCGCCCTGGCACCTCCGTCACTGTCGCCATCCCTCCCATCTCCCTTCCCACCTCATTTGGGCCAGTCACGCCCCCTTTCCAACCAACACACACGGTGGCCCTTCCCCTAATGATCGCCTTTCACCACCACACCGCTTACCTCTCTCCTTCCCCACACCACCTTTGGCCTTCCTCCCCCAATCCCCTTCCCTGCTTCCCCGTGTCCCTTTCCCTGCTTCCCCCCATCTCCTTCCCTTCTTCCTCCCACCCCCTTCCCATCTATTCCCCCCATCCCCGTCCCTGCTTCCCCATGTCCCCTTCCCTGCTTCCCCGTGTCCCTTTCCCTGCTTCCCCCCATCCCCTTCCCTGCTTCCCCCCATCCCCTTCCCTGCTTCCCCGTGTCCCTTTCCCTTCCTCCCCCCATCCCCTTCCCTGCTTCCCCATGTCCCTTTACAAGCTTCCCCCCATCCTCTTCCCTGCTTCCCTCCATCCCCTTCCCTGCTTTCCCATGTGTCTTCCCTTCCTCCCCCCATCCCCTTCCCTGCTTCCCCCCATCCCCTTCCCTTCTTCCCCCCATCCCCTTCCTTTATGTTCCCCCCATCCCCTTCCCTGCTTCCCCATGTCCCCTTCCCTGCTTCCCCATGTCCCCTTCCCTTCCTCCCCCCATCCCCTTCCCTGCTTCCCCATGTCCCTTTCCCTGCTTTCCCCCATCCCCTTCCCTGCTTCCCCCCATCCCCTTCCCTGCTTCCCCGTGTCCCTTTCCCTTCCTCCCCCCATCCCCTTTCCTGCTTCCCCATGTCCCTTTACAAGCTTCCCCCCATCCTCTTCCTTGCTTCCCTCCATCCCCTTCCCTGCTTTCCCATGTGTCTTCCCTTCCTCCCCCCATCCCCTTCCCTGCTTCCCCATGTCCCTTTCCCGGCTTCCCCCCATCCCCTTCCCTGCTTCCCCCCATCCCCTTCCCTGCTTCCCCGTGTCCCTTTCCCTTCCTCCCCCCATCCCCTTCCCTGCTTCCCCATGTCCCTTTACAAGCTTCCCCCCATCCTCTTCCCTGCTTCCCTCCATCCCCTTCCCTGCTTTCCCATGTGTCTTCCCTTCCTCCCCCCATCCCCTTCCCTGCTTCCCCATGTCCCTTTCCCTGCTTCCCCCCATCCCCTGCCCTTCATCCCCCCATCCCCTTCCGTGCTTCCCCGTGTCCCTTTCCCTGCTTCCCCCCATCCCCTTCCCTGCTCCCCCCCATCCCCTCCCCTGCTTCCCCGTGTCCCTTTCCCTTCCTCCCCCCATCCCCTTCCCTGCTTCCCCATGTCCCTTTACAAGCTTCCCCCCATCCTCTTCCCTGCTTCCCTCCATCCCCTTCCCTGCTTTCCCATGTGTCTTCCCTTCCTCCCCCCATCCCCTTCCCTGCTTCCCCATGTCCCTTTCCCTGCTTCCCCCCATCCCCTGCCCTTCATCCCCCCATCCCCTTCCGTGCTTCCCCGTGTCCCTTTCCCTGCTTCCCCCCATCCCCTTCCCTGCTCCCCCCCATCCCCTCCCCTGCTTCCCCGTGTCCCTTTCCCTTCCTCCCCCCATCCCCTTCCCTGCTTCCCCATGTCCCTTTACAAGCTTCCCCCCATCCTCTTCCCTGCTTCCCTCCATCCCCTTCCCTGCTTTCCCATGTGTCTTCCCTTCCTCCCCCCATCCCCTTCCCTGCTTCCCCCCATCCCCTTCCCTGCTTCCCCCCATCCCCTGCCCTTCATCCCCCCATCCCCTTCCCTGCTTCCCCCCATCCCCTTCCCTGCTTCCCCGTGTCCCTTTCCCTTCCTCCCCCCATCCCCTTTCCTGCTTCCCCATGTCCCTTTACAAGCTTCCCCCCATCCTCTTCCTTGCTTCCCTCCATCCCCTTCCCTGCTTTCCCATGTGTCTTCCCTTCCTCCCCCCATCCCCTTCCGTGCTTCCCCGTGTCCCTTTCCCTGCTTCCCCCCATCCCCTTCCCTGCTCCCCCCCATCCCCTCCCCTGCTTCCCCGTGTCCCTTTCCCTTCCTCCCCCCATCCCCTTCCCTGCTTCCCCATGTCCCTTTACAAGCTTCCCCCCATCCTCTTCCCTGCTTCCCTCCATCCCCTTCCCTGCTTTCCCATGTGTCTTCCCTTCCTCCCCCCATCCCCTTCCCTGCTTCCCCATGTCCCTTTCCCTGCTCCCCCCCATCCCCTGCCCTTCATCCCCCCATCCCCTTCCGTGCTTCCCTGTGTCCCTTTCCCTGCTTCCCCATGTCCCCTTCCCTGCTTCCCCCCGTCCCCTTCCCTGCTTCCCCCCATCCCCTTCCCTGCTTCCCCGTGTCCCTTTCCCTGCTTCCCCCCATCCCCTGCCCTTCATCCCCCCATCCCCTTCCCTGCTTCCCCGTGTCCCTTTCCCTGCTTCCCCCCATCCCCTTCCCTTCATCCCCCCATCCCCTTCCTTTATGTTCCCCCATCCCCTTCCCTGCTTCCCCATGTCCCCTTCCCTGCTTCCCCATGTCCCCTTCCCTTCCTCCCCCCATCCCCTTCCCTGCTTCCCCGTGTCCCTTTCCCTGCTTCCCCCCATCCCCTTCCCTGCTCCCCCCCATCCCCTCCCCTGCTTCCCCGTGTCCCTTTCCCTTCCTCCCCCCATCCCCTTCCCTGCTTCCCCATGTCCCTTTACAAGCTTCCCCCCATCCTCTTCCCTGCTTCCCTCCATCCCCTTCCCTGCTTTCCCATGTGTCTTCCCTTCATCCCCCCATCCCCTTCCCTGCTTCCCCGTGTCCCCTTCCCTACTTCCCCATGTCCCCTTCCCTGCTTCCCCCCATCCCCTTCCCTTCTTCTCCATGTCCCTTTCCTTGCTTCCCCATGTCCCTTTCCTTGCTTCCCCATGTCCCTTTCCTTGCTTCCCCATGTCCCTTTCCTTGCTTCCCCATGTCCCTTTCCTTGCTTCCCCATGTCCCTTTCCTTGCTTCCCCATGTCCCTTTCCTTGCTTCCCCATGTCCCTTTCCTTGCTTCCCCATGTCCCTTTCCTTGCTTCCCCATGTCCCTTTCCTTGCTTCCCCATGTCCCTTTCCTTGCTTCCCCATGTCCCTTTCCTTGCTTCCCCATGTCCCTTTCCTTGCTTCCCCATGTCCCTTTCCTTGCTTCCCCATGTCCCTTTCCTTGCTTCCCCATGTCCCTTTCCTTGCTTCCCCATGTCCCTTTCCTTGCTTCCCCATGTCCCTTTCCTTGCTTCCCCATGTCCCTTTCCTTGCTTCCCCATGTCCCTTTCCTTGCTTCCCCATGTCCCTTTCCTTGCTTCCCCATGTCCCTTTCCTTGCTTCCCCATGTCCCTTTCCTTGCTTCCCCATGTCCCTTTCCTTGCTTCCCCATGTCCCTTTCCTTGCTTCCCCATGTCCCTTTCCTTGCTTCCCCATGTCCCTTTCCTTGCTTCCCCATGTCCCTTTCCTTGCTTCCCCATGTCCCTTTCCTTGCTTCCCCATGTCCCTTTCCTTGCTTCCTCGTGTCCCTTTCCTTGCTTCCCCATGTCCCTTTCCTTGCTTCCTCGTGTCCCTTTCCTTGCTTCCCCATGTCCCTTTCCTTGCTTCCCCATGTCCCTTTCCTTGCTTCCCCATGTCCCTTTCCTTGCTTCCCCATGTCCCTTTCCTTGCTTCCCCATGTCCCTTTCCTTGCTTCCTCGTGTCCCTCCTCCTCCTCGTTCTCAGCTCTCTTTACCTCCTCCTTCTCCTCTGCCCCCCACCCCACTCCCCCCACGACCCTCCCATCCCCCCCCTCCCCCCTCCGCAAATCAGCCTTTGCCATGCTCCAGCAAGGAGAGCCCCTCGAAATTTCCCATCTACCCCTCCTTTCATGTGCCCGACGACGCCACTCTTGACCACTCATCTCGGCTGGGCTTACCTAGACATATTCATCTCGACCATCTGGAGTGAAGCTCCGCATAAATCCCACAACGTATCTTTGGGAAATCGGCTTTAGTTTATAGGCAACAGCAAGTCGTTTTTCTAAGGGCGTGTCATGCTTGGTGAACTTGCAGTTCATTCAAAGCGGCTGACTATGATGTGTCCGGTTCTATAACTTCAAGAGTGCTTTACGGATTCGAAGTGCTACGTACCAACCTAAACATTCTTTGGCGAGATGCGTTTTCACCATGTATGACACACCTTTATACCGAGAAACCGTTTTTGGATACTAGTATGCTTGTCGTTGGCTATGTTGTTTATGTTTGGTAGGGAATATCACAGCTAGGAACAAGCTCACTTGTTCAAGACTTTTTACGCGTTGGAGCTCGGGGCAAGATTGAGATAGGGCATACACAGTACACCCCTTGCACACAGTATTATCAACAGGTAACCCATATTCAGCATATAAACCATTGGCACCAAACAAAGCACGACCCACAAGTCGATCCCTGCTGCCAATCTCCATATCATGCCGCGGCCTCTACTCTCTATGCTTGCCTTCTTGCGCCTTCCTACCATGCCACTCCGCACTGACCACACCACCCTGCTCTGCTCGATTCAAATGTCTGTGCCCCATGATCCAGATTCAACACAGTTGCCTGCACAGTGCTGGCTGTCACGCGTTGCAGTGTACAATCCCTCACACGCAGGGAAGGCGGCAACTTCAAATGCAGGGCCTTATCGGGCGCAAGTCAGCATATGGTATGGGGCAGCAGGGGAGGCTGAAGGCAGTCTCGAGAAGAGGCTGCCTCGCAGCTCTGCCAGCTGCACGCCCTATCTCGCATATTCTGCCGAAGTGCGCTGTGGGCTGCTGCTGCTTCGTGACCGGCGTGGCGGTGCGCGGAGGGGTTCGCCTCGGGGCGGATCCGGTCGTAGATCTGCTTTCCAGCAGCTGAGGGGCTGGAGAGTGGGGCGTGGGAGACCAAAGGAGTGAGTGGGCGTGACAAGTGTGCGAGTTGGGAAGGGAGAAGGGAGGGATGGCGACAGTGACGGGGATGCCAGCTAGCACGAAGGGGGAGAGTTACGGGGGTACTCTGGTTTTATGATGTTGGCTCCCCGATTTGAATAAATATTAACAATGGAGACAGCATATATTAAGCATTTCAGCCACCTTGCTCCCCACCTTGCTCCCCACCTTGCTCCCCACCTTGCTCCCCACCTTGCTCCCCACCTTGCTCCCCACCTTGCTCCCCACCTTGCTCCCCACCTTGCTCCCCACCTTGCTCCCCACCTTGCTCCCCACCTTGCTCCCCACCTTGCTCCCCACCTTGCTCCCCACCTTGCTCCCCACCTTGCTCCCCACCTTGCTCCCCACCTTGCTCCCCACCTTGCTCCCCACCTTGCTCCCCACCTTGCTCCCCACCTTGCTCCCCACCTTGCTCCCCACCTTGCTCCCCACCTTGCTCCCCACCTTGCTCCCCACCTTGCTCCCCACCTTGCTCCCCACCTTGCTCCCCACCTTGCTCCCCACCTTGCTCCCCACCTTGCTCCCCACCTTGCCCACCTCCCCACCTCGCCCCCCTCTTCCTCTGTGTGCCCCTCCAAGGAAGCTGCCAGCGCCAGGGGCTGCTCCTCCTCGTCCTCCTCGCAGCTCCCCACTGCCCCCACACCCGCTCCCACCTCCACTCTGTGGGCACGTCACGCAGGGAAGAGGATGGGGGGAAGCTTGTAAAGGGACATGGGGAAGCAGGGAAGGGGATGGGGGGAGGAAGGGAAAGGGACACGGGGAAGCAGGGGAGGGGATGGGGGGGAGCAGGGAAGGGGATGGGGGGAAGCAGGGAAAGGGACACGGGGAAGCAGGGAAGGGGATGGGGGGAGGAAGGGAAGGGGACATGGGGAAGCAGGGAAGGGGACATGGGGAAGCAGGGAAGGGGATGGGGGAACATAAAGGAAGGGGATGGGGGGATGAAGGGAAGGGGATGGGGGGAAGCAGGGAAAGGGACACGGGGAAGCAGGGAAGGGGATGGGGGGATGAAGGGCAGGGGATGGGGGGAAGCAGGGAAAGGGACACGGGGAAGCAGGGAAGGGGATGGGGGGAAGCAGGGAAGGGGACGGGGGGAAGCAGGGAAGGGGACATGGGGAAGCAGGGAAAGGGACACAGGGAAGCACGGAAGGGGATGGGGGGATGAAGGGAAGACACATGGGAAAGCAGGGAAGGGGATGGAGGGAAGCAGGGAAGATTGCGTCACGCTCGTAGTGCAGCTCGTCGCCCTATAAATCTGAGCTCCTCTCTTAGTCTTCTCCCTGGCGCTCGCCGTTACCTCCCTCCTACCGCAATCGCATGCGTATTGTCGATTTGGTCCTGCGCACTATCGTCGTAGTTGGAGGCGTTGGGGTATTCAATCGCGTTCGTAAGTTCCACTGAATGTTTTCCTCACAGATACTCCGTCTTCCCCTATGTTTTCTTTGAGATCGTAGAGAGAGAGTAGGCCTTTCCGCTCGACACCTTGCTGCCATGTGAGTACGCTCCCACTGATGCTTCTCTCTCAAACTCAACAACCGGCATCCTTCGTGCTTTCCGTACGTGCCACGTTCAGGCTAAACGTTGCATTAGTCTGGGAATTACGTTGACTTCTCCTGCGCCGCGGTCTCACGTGCACGCTTAGCTTTATTGTTGTATCACCTGCCGAAGGACAAGCATTGCTGGTAGTCGAGGGACCTACCAGTTCCTCCTGAGCACCATCAGGCACGTAGCATTACGTGGCTGGAGCTATCGTGTCGCATTTGCGGCTGGTTCCCTGTTTCTACCCACCACATGTGATCGCGCCAATCCATTTACACCGAGCGCAACACCCTGCGTTTTCGTTTTTCTGCTCACGTCGCGCCCTGCGATTCGATTGCACAGATGCATTTCTAGAGGGCTGATTGGCTCCGATGCCCTAAACCCAAGTCGCGAGCGTCTCTGGCGTTGTCGCCCTGCATCGCTAGGGGATTCCCCTTCTCGAGAGTGGGCCTCTCACAATTTCGCCCTTCAGTGTGGCATTTTCAGGGGCTCGAGGCTTCTCTTCCCATATTCTTGGAGAAGCCTGTCGCACAGTTGAGTGACGAATTCAAGGTTTGCTCGTTAGCTGGTTTGGCTCTCGCTACGTTTTTTGGCTTTCGCCAACCATGTTAAAGCCATTATTCGATTTTCCAAAAAAACCATGCTGACCTCGGGCTTTAAAGCCAGGATCTCAAGTACCACAAATGTTTTGCAGTTGATGGTTGGAGCTTGGCTGCGATTGGTCGACGAGGTGCAAGGGGTGCAGCGAGGGGTGCGAAGGAAACTGAACTCGTTTGTGTGTGTCCGAACCTTGTAGGCATGGAGTTTGGTTCGGATCCGAAGCTAGAATGCCACAAATTTGCCGACAGTCTCATGTTTCTGAAATTGTTTTGCATTTGGTGCTGGGGCAAAAGCTTGGGAGTGTCGCACGCCAAACTGCCTAGCCAACCAGTCTACTTCGCATACAGAAACGGGGTAACTGAGCGTCAACTGTTTTGCAATTGATCCCAATTTCTCTTACTTGAGATCCTGGCTTTAAGCAGGAACAAGTAGCTAATCACAGTAAAATATGATCTCACAAAAACTACTCCTCGTGTCTAAACTGGTAGCTGGGGTGACTGACTGACAGATTTTTGCTGAGGAAGAAGTCCATCCATCAGTGAGAGCTCACCTCACCTCGCCAAGGATGCGCTCAATCCGTCTAGTCAGCTATCAGAAATCACTGACACGACACTCCCTGCTGATGCTGAGATTATAGCGCGCTTCAGTCAAGTAGCCGTTGGTGAGCTTCGCAAAGGCGGGAAGTGAATTCTCGCGTCGCGACAAAAGCAACCACTCTGCCCCAGCTTTGATGTCGCGACACTCTCACATGGGCCAATACAGGATACAAGTTCCAGGTCTGATAACGGAGCCGTCTAACTGATGATACTTCTACAATATGGCTCTGGTGTTCAAAACAGTTGTAGAACATTAGACTAGAGAATTATTTGTCAAATTGGGTCCCACAAGGCACACTATACTGTATCACCCAGAGTAATAAAAACAGACGTAAGTTGATACACCCAGTGTTAATGTATTATCCTGAGCTGAAACACTGATTCAAGCAAGTTCAAAGCGACAGCTTCTACTGCATACAAAACAGATCGATAAATTGTGTGAAGAAATCAACCCATAGTGCTTTAACTCAAGATATCACAAGGCTTTCCTCCCCACACTACTGCCACACCATATCTTCCAGTGACACTCGCCCAGTGACAATATCAAGGCTATCTCGCACACAAGCCATCTCATCAGAAGCACCTCCACTGGATAACACCTGCCCTGCCACTTCATCCCCTTCCTCCCCATCCTTGGTCCCTGAATCACCCTCTCGCCCCTCTGCTTCTTGACTCAGTTGACTCAGTTTCCTCATGCTCTTGCTCCTCATTAACATCCCTCCCTTCCATTCCCCTTCCTCTTCCTTCCCTCCTTCACTCACCCCGCCCTTTGATCCACCCTGAACGCTACCCTCTCCCCCATTCACCTCCCCATCCCTTCTCCCTCTCCTCTCGCCCCTCACAGCCCAGCACGCAAAATCCGGATGACCAGCGTCGTCATAAACCAAAGCCTTCGCCCGAATCCCCACTCCCACTCCTACTCCTCCTGATCCCTCCCCCGTTACCCCCATTCCTTCAACTGCCAATCCTCCCCCCTCTCCCCCAAGCTTGAGCAGGCTAGGAGGAGGCAAGGGGAGAAGGAAGGAGTTGAGGTGTTGAAGTGAGCGGATGAGGGAGAGGGAGGTTTCGGGAGGAACTATGTAATCTGCTGTGCTGCATTGGAGAAGGATGATGGGGAGGAGAGGGGTGGAGGATGGGGGGGCGGGAGAAGAGGGAATTGGAGAAGCAGAGGAGGAGGTGGTGGTGGAGGAGGGACGGGAGGATGAAGACGACGACGGGAAAGTAGAGGAGGACGGAGAGGAAGAGGAGGATGGGGGCGAGGAGAGCAGGCTGAGTTGGCCCGAGGCAAGAGCAGCCACAACAGCTTCAGCAACACCCTCTCCCAGCTCCTGCCTTAGAATGTCCAGAGGAGAGGGCGGCGAGGGGGCGAGGAACCTGGAGGAGAAGCAATCAGAGGAGAGGGGGTCTGCCTCTTGAGAGGAGGATGCTTCTTGATCGGAAAGGGGAGATGCGGTATTTCTTGAGCTGAAACCTGTGGGAGGTGCACCTGTGGGAGCTGCCTCTGCTGCCTCTGCTGCTGCTGCTGCTGCTGCTGCTGCTGCCGCTGCTGCAGCTGTGTAAGAGGAGGAGGAGACGGAGAAAGGAGGAGGGACGGTGAACTCTTGGGCTGGTTGGAGAGGCGAAGAAGCAGGCAGGGATGGCGTTGGAGGTATCATGGCGTCAGTCGCTGTGGCATCAGCAGGTTGGGTGAAAGCTGATGACTTGAGGAGGTGGGATCGAAGGGCCTGCTTCGCTGCTTCTTTTGATGTCGCTCTGTTGACTGCATCTGCCACTGAGGTTGCACTTCCCCCTCCTGAGATTGCGCTCCCCCTTCCTGTCCTGGTCACAGGCATACCAGCATCAATCGCACCTGCATGGTCACCCCTTATGCCCGTTGCTCCTCCTGCTACTCCTGGTGCTGCTGGGTCTGCTCCTACTGACAGGGACGACACTGATGATGACTTGGCAGCAGCTGGTTGGCGGTTAACGTTAGCTTTATCAAAGTTGGCTGATCGTTTCACTGGACGGGGAGCAACTGATGACGTGGCGTCTGGACCCTCTGACGTGGCGTTGGGACCAGCTGACGTGGCAAATGAACGGGGTGACGCGGATTTGAGGGCGGCAGAGAGGGAGGGCCTTAGGGTGGCAGCAGCAGCAGCGCTGACTGCTGCTAGCTGCTCAAGTGCTCTGCTTCTAGCGGCAGCAGAGGCAGAGGCAGAGGCAGCAGGCACAGGAGAAACAGAGAGTGCAAGAGCGGCAGAAGTGGCAGTAGTGGAAGAAACAGAGGCAGCAGCAGCAAAAGCAGGAGCAGCAGGAGCAGCAGGAGCAGCAGCAGCAGCAGACAAAAGAGGACTCTTTGGACAGTCAAACAACGCCAAGAATGATGCAGCAGCAGCAGAGGCATTAGCATCAGCAGCAGCATCACCACCAGCAGCATTACCAGCAGCGCCACCAACAGCACCCGCAGCAACAGCCTCCGCAGCAGCAGTGGCAGCATCAGCAGCGGCGGATGCGAGAGCGTCAAACAGCAGAGCAGGCGAGGATGAGACGAACCGTGCCGGCCCGCCAATAGCAGGCGACATGGCAGAGAGAGCGAACACGCCCCGAGCCTGCTCATGCCTCTGGTGATGGGCTATATCGTACACGCCACTCATGCCCAGGAAGCAGTAGGGTTGCCGGAGGTCCGGCTCGTCTAGAGTCCAGAGATCCTCTCCTTTGAGGGTGTAATGTGGCGATTTACCCTCCCTGCTGCTGGCGCTGCCACTGCTGCCGCTGGTACTGGTACTGTTGCTGCTGCTGCTGCTACTGTTGGTACTGTCGCTGCTGCCGTTGCCCTCTGCTACAGCCGTGGGTGCTGATGCTGCATTCGAGGCATGCGCCTTGAACATGCGGCGGAGGGCAGACCTGAGGCGGCGCCACACAACCATGGAGCAGACGTGGGCGCCTGAGGAGTGGCCTGTGAGGAAGATGCGCGAGGGGTCACCCCCATACTCGTGAATGTGGTCCATTGCCCATGAGAGCGCCCTGGACGTTTCCTCTACTTGGTCTATGGCCAGAGCCTGGGTTGGGGAGAGGGGGGAGGGAGCGGAAGGGAAACACATGTGAGGGATCTGGAAAGGGTCGCCTGCCCTCATACTCGTGAATGTGATCCAATGCCCATGAGAGCGCGCGCAGCTGGCGTTTCTTGAGCCTGGTCGACGCCATGGGCCTGGAAGTGGGGGAGAGAGAGGAGGAGGGGTGTTGGAGAAGACGCGAGAGCGGGAGGAGAGACTGAGAAGAGAAGACGGGGAAGACGACACGGGAGCAGCTCATGTGCTCCCGTGTGCCATTATTCTCAGCAGCAATCGCAACAGATGAGCTGAATAATGAGGATGAGGGGGCTACGGAGGTGGGAGGTGGGGCGGGAGGAGAAGCGAGGAGGGTGTAAATATGACTTACCTCGGGGTAGAGAGTGTACTGAATGGTAACCACCACCGCCCCTAACTGAGCGAATCGGATCGCGAGCGGAGAATACATCCACTTCTCGCCACTCGCCCACACTCCCCCGTGCACAAAAAACAACACCGGCCGCCCCTTGCTTCCTTCGTTACAGCTGTTGCTGGTATCACTGCTGCTGTTGCTGCTGCCAGTGACAATAACACCAGTGCCGCTGCTGCTGCTGCTGCTGCTTTCTGCTGCATTGCTGTCAAGTGCCAGATCTGGTGGCATGTAGATGTCAAGGCTGTGGTAGGCAAGGGAGGGACACAAGTGATAAGGGGGTTACTGTCTTGAATGACGTGTCATACAACAAAGATTAAGACATTGGGAAACCCGAGAATCGGGAATCCAAATCCGACATTTGCGCATTGCCCATGCCACACCATGCCATCACATGTCCACCAAGTCATCCCCTCTTAGGATCGTAAACACCTTAGTCGGCAATAGTCTACTTGCTATTGCTTATCGTGTTCTCCACGATCTCCCAAATCCAACGATATGCGCAGCTCTGCTTGAAGTTGTCAATACACACTTCAGCAATTTCAGAATCTCAATGTTGTCCAATGTTGTATTTCAAGAATGAGTACAAACAGGTTTATAGTCAGGCAAGACACAAAATGCGATTCGTAACTTCACTTGTTTCCCAAGTAACCGCGTGCGCCTCGTTTCACCCCGAGTCGCACACGCAACCGAACCGAATGCACCGAACACTCCTCGAGTCCGATTCCAGCACCTTCTCGAACACGCCTCAGTCTCGAACCACAATTTCCCCTTGTCAACTCCCTTCTCGATGCTTCTCCTTCTCTCTTCCTCCTTTTAGCACGTTTCTTCTTGATTCTTCTCCATTTCACTTCACCGTATGCCGATTTCCACCGTTTTAGATCTAGAATCTCCCACGAGATCCATTCCGCCGTCATTCCGCATTTCGCCGTAGGTTCCGTGGTTCGTCGAACCAACCCTAACAATCTCCCCTGTGGTTCGTCAACCACGAACTCCACTCGCACTCCTCCTCTGCTCCTTGTAGCCTTCATAGGGTCTAAGTCGGCTTCACGCTCCCCTGCAGCTCCTGCACCTTGAGCCTCTGCTTACGTGTCTTGAAGTTGAGCGCCTTTACATCCAAACCTTGAGTGATTTTCTGAAGCCTCTCACTTCTCCTCGGCAACTTAACACCCAACACATCTCGGGTCTCGTACCCTTCAACATGTTCCTCTTTCGTAAGCACTCGCCCCTTTGCAGTTGCTTTCACCTTTGATCCCTTCACCATGATGTCCCCTTTCACAGCTTCGACTCCCACACACTTCGCATTTACTGCTTCGACTTCAACCACAATCGCTGCTGCAAAAGTGTTGACACCATCTCTATCGCCACCATTCACTGCTGCTGCCTCCATGGCGACTATCTCCTCTTTCTGCTTCACTGCTGCCTCCACACTTGCTGCCGTATCATCCGTCTCCTCACTCTCATCATCCTCAACCGATAACTCCTCGAATTCTCCCATCTCACCATACTCAGGATCCTCATAGATCTCATCCATAACATTCGTCGCTATCACGTTCATCTCATAAAATCTGTCACTGAAGTAACCCTCTGCGTACTTCTCCCACTCAGGGCCAAACACTGTAACCTTGCCACTGTCATAAAATATCTTGCACCCCAAGTCATCAAGCTGTGACTGACTCATCAAGTTCACCTTTAAATCCTCAACCAGCAGTACACTCTCCAGTTTCACCTCTCCATACGGACTCTGCAGCACCACGTCACCTTCTCCTGTCACTGGCAACTTCCCACTGTTACCTTGCAGTATATAATCCTCACTCGACTCCCTCACATTCTCCATCCAATCTGACCTGAATGTCATGTGACGCGTGCATCCGCTGTCCATGAACCATGCCGTCTTCTCACGTCCGTCCGTCTGACGAACCTCCTTTGGTAAACGCACCACGTTCGCAAGATGCGCTCCTCCAAGGATCACATCATCCTCGTTCGCTTCCGCTACATTCGCCTTAGCCGCCACATTCCTCTGCTGCGACGGACCCTTGTAGCTCCTGCTATTTGGATTGGAGTAGCACTCTGCGGCACGATGCCCGTAGCGCCCACAATAGTCGCACTTGCCGCCAAAACCTCGTTTCTGCTGCCACTCCGCTCCCCTGTTTTCTCCATTTTTGTTCTCCACCGCTTTGCCTTTGAAGTTCCTGCTTCGCGGATTTTCGTAGCAGTTTATCGCCTTATGCCCCCTCTTTCCACACTGGTAGCACGCTCCAAACGCCTTTGTCGCATTCACCAAAGCCGGCCTTTCCTCGTCGAATTCCGTAGCTGCTACTGCCGCTTTCCTTTTCCTCATCTCCTTCACCGTCTCAAGCGCTTGCAGGATCTCCTGCAGCTTCGTCAAACTCTCCGGCGGTTGGTACGTAAACATTCCAATGTCGGATTCCCATTCTTTAGGAAGGCCTTGGATGATATAGTCAATCATCTCGTGCTCCGTCTCCGCGGCTCCCATCACCCGCAAATCGTCGTTGTAGCTTTTCGCTTTGTTGATGTAGGTGATGATTTTCTCGCCTTTCTCCATGCTCAGCATCAGGAGTTGCTTCCGTATCGCCTTCTTGTTGACATCGTTCGTGCCCATGTACGTGGACTCCAAGTACTCCCACGCTCGCTGTGCAGAGTTCAGCTCCCCTGCAAACTGGTCCAAATCCACCGCGATTCCATCGGCAACTGAGTGACAAAGCTGAAAGAACGCTTGCTTACTTTGTCTTTTGAACGCCGCTATTTTCTCCTTCGTATCCGTCGGGGATGGCGCAACTCCCTCCATCGTCTCCTCGTCGGGACGGTAATACGGCAAGAGGTCCACCTCCTCTGCCCTTCGAATGAACTTCTTTCGCCACACGTTGTAGTTGCTCCCGTTGAAGCGCTGGGCTTCACTGAGCCCGATCGTCGGTTTCGCCACCAATCGGCCACTCGCAAGGGCCTCGAGAAGAGCCTTCAACTGCGGGTCTCCAAGACTCACACTGGAACCCGAACTCGCCTCGTCTCCCATGGCGTAGGCGTGAACGACTCCTCTTCTCCACTAATTTCACTTAGCGCACCAAGTGAATTCACGACGATCGACGCGACCGTTCGCCAAGCTCTGATACCAGTTCTTAGGATCGTAAACACCTTAGTCGGCAATAGTCTACTTGCTATTGCTTATCGTGTTCTCCACGATCTCCCAAATCCAACGATATGCGCAGCTCTGCTTGAAGTTGTCAATACACACTTCAGCAATTTCAGAATCTCAATGTTGTCCAATGTTGTATTTCAAGAATGAGTACAAACAGGTTTATAGTCAGGCAAGACACAAAATGCGATTCGTAACTTCACTTGTTTCCCAAGTAACCGCGTGCGCCTCCTTTCACCCCGAGTCGCACACGCAACCGAACCGAATGCACCGAACACTCCTTGAGTCCGATTCCAGCACCTTCTCGAACACGCCTCAGTCTCGAACCACAATTTCCCCTTGTCAACTCCCTTCTCGATGCTTCTCCTTCTCTCTTCCTCCTTTTAGCACGTTTCTTCTTGATTCTTCTCCATTTCACTTCACCGTATGCCGATTTCCACCGGTTTAGATCTAGAATCTCCCACGAGATCCATTCCGTCATTCCGCATTTCGCCGTATGTTCCGTGGTTCGTCGAACCAACCCTAACATCCCCCTCCTCATCCCCATCCCCATCCCCATCCCTATCCCCATCCCCATCCCCATCCCCATCCCCATCGGCACACTCACACATCCCAGGCCATCCCGTTCCATGCCTCGTCATCCCATCACATGCACATCATCCCCTCCCCCGCCACGTACGTGTTGCGCAGACGAGGGCCGTAGCGGATGTCGTAGACCACTTGCACGCCGCCATGTGGCAGACCCTGCCACAGCATCGCCTCCATCGACGACGCCCAGTTCCACACTGAAAAGCCACGTCATGCCACGTCAGCCCCATGCCATGCCAAATCAGGGCAGGACACACCATGCCAAGCGAAGCCAGGGGTAAGCAAGCAGCACCAAAGGACGTAGTAAGGGAAAGGTATGGCATGATTCCTCCGCTTCGATCAAGCAAATGGGGAAGGAGAATGTTCACCAATAGCAATAGAGCAGCTTCTCAATCTGCTCTGCGCCGTCACATTCTCGTCTCCCTTCCCTCCCTGCAACCTCCTCCTTTCCCGCTCACCTTTTCCCTCCGACTATACAACCTGCTCCATGCCCCACTCCTCCTCCCTTTCCCCCTGTCCTCTCCCTCCATGACTATACAACCTGCTCCATGGCCCCATTCCACCTCGCCTTCCATTCCGCAATCCTCCCCCGTTCCTCCCCCAATCCTCCCCCGTTCCTCCCCCGTTCCTCCCCCAATCCTCCCCCGTTCCTCCCCCGTTCCTCCCCCAATCCTCCCCCGTTCCTCCCCCGTTCCTCCCCAATCCTCCCCCCTGCCGGTTCTACCTGTCGACGTCAGCTGTCTCCGCATTTTCCGGATCCCAATCGCCGACCGCCGAGCCGCGGACGGGCTTTCCGCATCCCCGCCTTCTCCGCGCGCGATCTCCCCTTCCGCCGCGTCCAGTTCCCCGCCTCCGTTTCCGCCAGTGCTCCGCGGACCTTCGAGCCCGCGTTTACTGGCGTAGAACACGCTCCGATACATCGCCATGGCGTGAAACCCGTACGGCGCGTTACCGAATATCCCGACCAGCTCTTTCGCGAACGTTATCGCGAGCGTCGTCGCGACGGAGATGCGCTCCCAGACCGTCGCCTGTCGCAGCACCTCCAGCTGCGCACCGCGTGCCGCCTCGACGAACAGACTCGCGACCATTCTGCCAGATCCGAATCTGAATCAATCAGAGTCCGCAAATGCGGCGAGGAGAGCAGAAAGCAGCGGGACGGTCACGTCCGGCACGAGAAGTCGCGTACAAGCGGTGTGCCTCGTGGTTCGTCACAAAGGAGCGGTAGAACGGTGTGACGAGCGGCGGAGATCGGTGTGAGGAGTCTACTTTTGAGGCGCCTCAAAAGAAGGACAGTGCGGCAAGGGACAGAGACCGGTGTGTGGAAGGGAACGAGCGCGCTTAGGAGTGGTGGGAGGCTGGGTGACAAGAGAGGAGAGATTGCGGCCGAGTCGAGTCACTTGAGACGTTTGTCGCGAGATTGGGGGTCTGTCACCTCAGCCTGGATCCCGTGCAACCACAGCCTGGCCTCTCTCTTTGTCTCCTTATCTCCTTATCTCTCCGAAAGAGCCGCTCCAACGTTCGGGACTCGGAGTCCTAATCTCTGGACTCGCTTGAAGAAAGATGATGCTGGGAGCGCGAGGACCAAGCGGGACGCAGTGCCGCAGCACGTAAACAATCACGCCGCGGCAATGGCGCTGGTTCGACTCGCCAGACGCTCCCAGCAACCAGTCCCGATCTCGCTCACCAGTCACTCCTCCCCTCTCCTCTCCTCTCCTCTCCTCACTTCTCCTTTCTGGGCCCAACTCTTCAAGTACGATCTGGTTTCAATGGCGCGCGTGTGAATGGATTCTCAAGGATGCCCCATTCCCGCAAGACAAAGACGGGTGGTTACAACAAAATCGTGATAGCGGAAGTGTACTTTTCGCAACCAATGGTTTCCTAAACATCTCTGTACAAGTGTCCTCCCAATCTTCTTGAACGAATGTCGAGAAGGGAGCGGGGTGTGAGCGAGGGAACTGAGTGAGTGACCAGTCGTGCTACAGTGTGGGCGCGTTGGGACCACACGATCTGTTCGGGTGAAGCGCGGTGGCGGAGCTTGTGGCTGACGGCTCACCGAACTTGGGAAAAGATCAACCAGGGGCCGAACATTGCCAGAGAGGTGTTCAAAGTAGGGCCGGTAAATCTCGACCGTAGGATTTCAGCCCAGAGCTGCCCAACTGACTTGGCGAACAAGCCGAACCGGAAGTAAACGATATTTGCTAAAAGAACCAAATTGTGTATTCATGTTTTTTATTGAGGGTTTTGACCTCCGTCTACTACAGCGCGCGTGTCGCCTTCTTCTGGAAGTAAAGTTCGGCGGATCAAAACGTGAGTACGTATAACATATTATATTCTGGGTGATAAATACCACCTACCCGATCGTAGACGCACTGGAAAAAAATATATTACCCATTCGGAAACATATACGACTCGGGAGGCATCAACCCTAAATACCAGGAAGTTGTCCGTTTTAGGGTTGACCCATCCCGAAAATGCATCCAGGTTTTTTTTGCTGCCCTAAGAGTTCCAGTAGATTCGGCTCGCTAAACGACACGCGAGCGAAAATGCGAGCCGGTACATGCCACTAATAACATAATTACGTGCAATAAAAGAAGACCCTATGTTAATACCTCTATGCGCAGCGGTTTGGGAATTTCCGGGCCTCTTGGCCCCTGGTTGATCACCCCTCTGGCACCGTTCGGCCCCTCGTTTATCTTTTCCCACCGAACTTCCTCATCGAGACCTGCGCGATGGGCTGGCGATAAAACCGATGGTTGCACGAAGTCGCTAGGAACTCTTGCGAGTTGGGGGGCAGCAGTGCCTGTGTCCATATCTGT